TTTATTTTTTTTAGTGTTCTGTCTGACGACAGGTCCATATGACCAGGATCCTTCCATCCTTTTCTCGGACTGGGATCTGTTCATATACGTTCTTGGCAGATGATCCAGAGGTGGTTTGCCATTGCCTTCTTCTGTGTGTGCATGGAGTAATTGTTGGGATGCCACGGAGAAACCGGGGAAGCCCCCGGAGGAAAACTCCGTGTTGCCTAGACCACGGCCTTGCCCAACACAAGTTATAAATTCGGGCACCGCCGGGAATCGAACCCGAGACCCCAGGATTACAAGGCCAGCGTATCTGTGCATACGTAAATATATTCGAAAGTAAACAGTTATCATAAATTATTTCAAGACCCCCCTGTTCTTAATTTACTTCTCAAAACACCCCCCCCCCCCAAAATAAAGTCATGTTTTGCCACCAACTTATGCAAATTCTGAACATTCTATTCTGTTCCTTTCCACACGTTTTATTAAATCAATAAATCAGATAAAATATATGTAGATGTATTGGTTATAAAACTAATAAATGGGATGAAAAAGAACGTTTCGGTCTGTCAAGTAATTTAGGACTTCCGCTTTTAAACTGACACGGAAAATACAGTGCACAAAGGACGGTAGGGTTCGTTTCCACGCCATATTGATTTCATGTCATGTAGATATCCTATACCATACGTAATATATCGCTTGAAAAAGTGTAAAAATGTAAATATGCGGGAACAACATTAACAACTGACAAGGAGTTCCAGGCAGAATTCATAAAGCTTATTTCCCTCTTCCACAGATTTATAGTCATACAAATCTCGCGCTGTTAATGTTACATTCAGGCAATGCAAGTTTATAATCTAGCAATGAAATGCAATGAGCTCATAAATTACTTTCCTGGGCTCGTACACAGATACAACCGAATCCCACGCGGGCCACACTTTATTTATTAATGCTTGTAATTATAAATATGTTATAATGTCATTTCTCTCACTAGAAACTTACTAGTTTTATAAATACAGATCCTATGTTAAATTAGAAGGACATAACTTCAAAAGATTCGCACCGTCGCCATCTTCTTAACTGTCGACTTACAAGTACCCACGCGTAATTTGTGGACGTATGTATTAAATATCGCCATACCAAATTTTAAATCCGATAGTTATCGCTGTCGAACTGTCAGGAACCTATAATTAATTGGCAATGGTACTTCAAAGTATCTGGACAAAATGAAGAAATTAACATAAAGCAATTTACCATCACCATCTAGTTAATAACATAAATATATTGTGGGTGACGGAATATTTGTTTTCCGCATTGGGATGCAAAGAAACTGAATATAGGCGAGATGTACTGGGGAAAACAACGAAATCCACCACCTGACCAAAACGCCACTACGTTTGATAGTATGTAGGCCTGAACGAAATCTACAATGACAGCAACATCGACCACTGTCCGACTCGTAGGTGTGACCATTCGAGATCGTTAGGTACCACCGTTATATTTACAGATGTCATTCACATTTCGTGGCAGTGTTACATTTCTGCATAAACCCCCAGATAACAGCTTTGTCGTTTCCACCCTGCAGAAGATGGCTCAGGGTTCCTACGAAACATCTGTAATCTTTAACATTTCAACTAGGCGCTGTACCCAGAAGATTCGGCTGTGGAAATGGGCTACTACAAAGACAAAGTTTTATATCGAAAGCTAAGAAGGCTCAATCTACATAGGGGTGACCTATATATTTTACAAAGTTGAGCCGTCAGGCAGAAGACAGGAAAAGCAGACAAGAACGGAGTAGAAAAGAATCATTGCTGCCATCTTTCTTTCAACATGTGAATCCCTCTGAAAATATACGAGGCAGGCTGCGTTCCTTTTCTTATGCTGAAATCGGGGTTTTGGAACTGGGATTGTCTGTGTAGAGTCGGCAAAACGGTAACGCGCGCTACGCCGGTCAAAATTGAACTCAACAAAGACGGAGACAAAATGGGTCCTGTGGGAAATGGGGGTAAAATAAATACGAGAAAGAAAGGTGGATGGGGGAAGGCAGGGTACATACAAGTTTGTCGTCGAAAAAATGAGGTAGAAAGGTGACGCTGATATAAAAACGGATACATCAAGAAAATGAAGAAATGTGAGCGAAGTTGAGAGAGGGAGAAAATGGTGAACGAAGAGAAAAATGCTCCAATTAGATATGGGAATATCTGACACAACGAGGTTTACATATCAGAAAATGCTCCAATTAGATATGGGAATATCACATGGTACAATGTTTCTGACACAGCGAGGTTTACATATCAGGTACAAAAACAAGTGACGAGAAAGAAATTATGAAATAGAAAATGGGACGGTGTGAGGAAAGGGATAAGAACAGACCAAGAGGACGAGAAAGAAATTATGAAATAGAAAAGGCACAAATCAGAGAACGAAAATGGGACGGTGCGAGGAAAGGGATAAGAACAGACCAAGAAAAGAACAGGGTAGGAGAGGAAGTAAGTAAAATAGACACAGATAAAAAAGAAATATAGAAAGACATTAAGTTAGATAAACAGAAAAAGGCTAAACTAAAATGGAGGAAATAAAAAGAAGGAGGCTAAAACAAGGGACGAAAAAACAGAGAAAAAGGAAAGAGAAGGAGAGAAAAAAGCAGAAAAAATAATAAATGGGATGACAGAAAGAATGGAAAGGGAAAAAGAATGAAGAAACAAGGAACAGATCAAGACCTCATGACACACACACACACAATAATTACCATAGGCCTATTTAGTGACGCCCATACTGTATCTTGTATAATCCCGACAGATTCTCAACGCTGCGACAACCTGTATAAAGGAAATGTTCTTTTAAAACCCTGAATCTGAAAACTTTCTCTCCTCTCACAGTAGCCGTCTGTTACGACGTACTATAAACAAATCACCGAAATGTAAGAAAACTTATGTGCTGGAATCTTTAAGTAGCGAACACTGTGGAAAATAAAAAGCTGACAGTCGTTCAGCTAGTCAAAAATGTACCCACATTCCATGGGACCCAAAACCAAATATTATTAGGATGGCCGAATGAAAGAATATGTGATGGGAGATGAGAAATGCACATAAAGTTTTAGTTGGAAAGTCTGAAGTAAAGAGATCACACAAAAAAAAACCTACACACAGATGTGAAGATAATATTAATATAGATCGAAGGCAAACAGGTTGAGTGCGTGCATTGGATTCATCTGGATACGAATATGGACTGGGGTCAGGCTCTTGTTAACACGATAATAAACGTTCATGTTCCATAAATGGTGGAGAAAGAGAATATTTTGTAATATTTCTCTTCTAAATGAATCACAGGTTTTGTTGAAGTCTACAAACAATTGATGTACATTCCCGTTGAACTCCCATTTCCTTTACAATCTCTGACGAGATGTGATTAGCAGCCAATTGATTATGATGATGATTCCCAACAACATAACCTCTTACAAACGTGTATCTTTTTACCTAAGATCAAAAAGACGACCTGTCACACGCTAGACTAGCTTCTATCTTTCGTGAACCAAAACGTATTATTTCGAAGCTTCTGGTACATTACCAGACAACATTCTTGAAATAACGAGTGCGTAGACACAGCAAGTGAAGTAAAGTAGACAGAATAAGTGATAAAAGTTATACAGATATACAAATGAGAGGGAAAGAATGGACATGTATACATGAGGAGAACTCAGGGAAGCACAGAGAAGAATGGAGAGGGCACAGCCACGGAAAAGTCACTGGACGATAACGCTAAAAAAGGATCTATACACTGAATAAGTCATAGACGGTTGCCAAATGTTTATTACAATTCATATTTCCCCATATTTAAACAGAAGCAGATAACAGTACGCAGAAGCTACAAAGCAGAATAGCATCAGAAGCCATGATATTAATAATAACATCTCTTGACATTATCCACGTATTTTGGAAGCAAAATAGGCATCACCCCTGTGATTTTCTGACATTGCGACTGCATTTTACTTGTTTACCTTCTCAAAGTATGATTTTGAGCCTTTGGGATCAGGTTTGATAGTTGGGGAGTCTGGTTTCCAGTTAGCAGGACAAACTATAAACAGAACACAAAAGCAAATGATTACAAAAACATTCTGAGAACTTATGACACCAAACTACAAACACTCATTTAAATACTATCACAAATATAGAAACGCCTAGAAAAAAAAATAATCTAGATTAAACTTCAAGCCTATTACACTTACATTTGACACAAATCTAACATACAAGCATAAATTTACCTCCTTAACATTATTAATGATCATAAGTCTAATTTCTGACTCACCTTCTCCATGCTTTTCTACAAACTGGAAAGCTTTAACAAGTCTCAATGTTTCGTCCACACTACGCCCAACCGGAAGATCATTCACCGTCATCTGGACAAGGACTCCCTGTTAAAGAACATTTATTAAGAGAAAAGACTGAAAAGATGTACTCAAATTTGTAGTAAACATAATTAAAACTGCAATACTTGTAACTTTGCATGCCTCATTGGTCCTGGTGTTCATTTATTAAATGTACATACCACTGCTGTAAAGCTTATCATGCAGAAGCTGGGCATTCAACATCTCCATTATGCATTCACTCTATTAACTTTGTGCTAAATGTACATAACATTATAAAATGTGGATCATCTTAATGAAAACACAAAACAGCCCAAGATGACGTAAAACAGTACTGAATTGGCAGCCCATGTAATAACACCGTTCTGTACCACAAACCTGAACTGAACGAACAACTTGCGAGTCCCATTGAGCCAAACTCGTTTGTGGGTGGGGTGTCACGAGCCGAGTCTGCTATGCATGTGTGGTGAAATATATCCGAGCCCGGCTCACGAGTCAAGCTCGCCGAGCCAGACCCGCAAGTCAGATTCGTAACGTGGATGGGCCGCTAAAAACAGAATAATTCCTGTAAGAAATAATGTTACCTATTTTATTTTTATTTATTTAGTGTTCTGTCTGACGACAGGTCCATACGAACAGGATCCTTCCATCCTTTTCTCGGACTGGGACCTGTTCATATACGTTCTTGGCAGATGATCCAGAAGTGGTTTGCCATTGCCTTCTTCTGTGTGTGAATGGAGTAATTGTTGGGATGCCACGGAGAAACCGGGGAAGAAGCCCCCGGAGGAAAACTCCGTGTTGCCTAGACCACGGCCTTGCCCAACACTAGTTATAAATTCGGGCACCGCCGGGAATCGAACCTGAGACCCCAGGATTACAAGGCCAGCGTTCTAACCGCTAGACCTATTCTCATTTAAATGTTTCCATCTCTGTACTGACGGAATCATAAATTATTAATAATACAACTTCGTGACAAATTCCCATGAAACTTATTGCTAGTATTCTATTATTGCATCCACCTCAGAAATGTGCACAGCAGCTGTGCTGACACAATCAGTGGTATGGAATTTACAAACATGAAGGTAGGGGTAGTCTGCAACAGCATGATGTTCAAGCCAAGTTTTTTGAAAACCTGTCAAATGATTTGAAAATTACAGTGGGAGATATAGACACACATGGACATAAGAATGGTCATAATTCCTTACAAAATAAGAAATTAATATGGTGCAAACAGTTCACACACAAAAAAGACATTCCTAATAAACCCAATTACTGTAAAGATAAATAAAATTAGGAATAAAAAAAGGTAACTTACCATAAAAAGCTCCTGGGTTAATCTTCACCTCAAGAACTTCACTTTCCAAAAGACAAGAGTAGAAATATCTGCTCCAACATAGTAAGCTTTTCAAACCTTACTGTTCTTGATGTTCTCATTTATTGTGGACAAATTGTACTGTACAGATAGCACACTGCACAGTCATAAATTATTTTCCCTTCTATTTTATTAAATATCATATCATATGGAAAATGTTTCATATAAAATTTGTAGGCCTTGACAAAATTCATATCTTATCATATACTACATATTTGCCTAATTATCCAGAACAAACTGTGAAAATCAAATTTTAACTTCATGTAAAACTGATCCAAAATTAAATTCACACAACTTTCAGTGAAGAACACCATACCAAATTTAATCAAACCATGTTTAGTATTTTCAGAGATAAAACATGCCTACAGACAAATGAACACAACGGCACCCATCTATTTGTTAATTTCAATTACAACACTACCAGTATGATGCAACATTTTTACATGTCCCAAGAAATCAAGATCATAAGAAACATTCTTATTTCCACAGAGGTGACTGTACCTTGGGATCAATGATGAAGAGTCCCCGTAGAGCGACTCCGGCATTCTCAACGAGAACATTGTAATCACGAGCTATTTTCTTACTGAAGTCTGCCAGTAGCGGATAGGTTATAGGGCCCAGTCCTCCAGCCTACATCAAACACAACAAAGTCATAAGAAACAAAATTGCTGAGTTTTTGGACCATGTCCATCGTCTTATGTCATAAAATTACACATTTCAAGGGCAGAAATTGTCTTTATCTTCAGGTGTGTGAAGGAGAAGGGTACCTACTCCATGGGGTCCATTAGAATGAGCTAATCTCAATCACTGGAAACTGGAATATGGTTATTCATTTTAACTATTAACAGTAATATACCTCTATCTGGTTTCAGTTAGGATAAAAGTTAACTAAGATCATCAGAACAACTGCAAGCGTATAAGCACCTGAGATGAAGTTATGGCAATGGGAGATAATGATAAGATTAACAACAAAAATTATAAAAAGACATGTGAATGTCAAGACTAAGGCAAACTTGGAAACTGAAATTAAAATGCATCAAACCAAATCCAAAAGCATCCAGTCTGGGAACCTAGTGCAGGAGAAATATGAAATATTATCTCCCCTATCATAACATCAGTGGCCAAAGAATAGAGCCCTGAAACAGAGCCATGGAAGTACTCTGAAGAGTCTATCAAGTAAAAACAAGCCCAAGCTCATACCTTTGCCATTGCCACGTATGCAGAGGCCAGATAAGTCAAAGGCCACACATGCAAGCATAAACCACAATATAGTGGCAGTGTTTTGAATCAAACCCAGAACTCAACAATTACTAAACACTGAACGTTAGCCATTATACCAGACGGATGGCTCTGGGCTTGAATCCAACTTCTGCCACCAATATTTAAAACAAAAATAAAAGTATTTGTCATCATAATAACAAACTATTACCTGCAGGTAAAATCAGAGAAAAATCCCAAAACATTTGATACAAGGTTTTTCAACAGTTGATATTCAAACTCACAGAACACAGGCAGCATTACGGTTAAAGTTTACTCACTTTACGAGGTGTGTTGATCCAACCAAGATGGCTGAAATGTGAGTCTGTAGAAGCACCAACAATTTCAGTGTTAATTGCTTTGAAATCCTGAATTCTTTCACTAAATGCTATTATTTCTGTTGGACATACGAATGTGCTGAAAAGAAGATAATCATAAATAAATTTCTTTAAAAACTATAATTTAGCGACATCACTATGTCAGTGCAGAATAATCATCCAATGAAAGCTCCACCTTAGCAATAACGCCAAGGTGCAAATATCCTCCATATTTCACCCTAACTTCATGAGTTTCACTGTGTCCATTCCAATGCGTCCTGCAATACTTCAGTTCATCAACACCACTATGCATGGGTAAGTGGCTTTCTTTGTATTCAGAAGGTTCTGGTTTCAAATGTATGACCTGGAGTCTAGTTATCTTAACTGAGGTTTCTTGTAGATTTCCTCAGTCACTCAAGTGGATGAAACCTTAAAATAGGCCATAAGGCTCCTTTGCTGTTACAATTCATTTCATTGGGAGGCTAGCCACCATTTATAACTGAATGGTTACAAAGTCCAGTAGAAAACACCTGAGGTCTCATATTAAATAAACCAAGAACAATTTATGCATAAAAGAAAGTGACCACACACAGATGAACTGAAAGCCAAGATACAGTGTTTCTGAATTTTAAATTACTTAGCACATCATACTCACAAATCAAGAGGGTAGAAAAACAAGACAAGATATTTTCCTTTATAATCTGTTAAACTGATTTCCTTGAATTCTTGATTGACAACAGCCGTCCCACGAAAATCGGGCGCTGGTTGTTGAACTTGAGGAGCACACAAATGAATACCTAAAAAAGTAAATGATTTCACATAAGCAAGTAATATATGTGAACTAAAATGTTATATCTTTGTGTCTCTAACCATTTTGTTTAAAGTAAACATATTACTCTATTCCTCCTAACTAATTATAAGGTGCAATCTTCCTTTGAAAGCTGATAACTATTCAGCTGAAGATTTCTGTCTTCTGGGTTGTTGCGCTGTGTAGTCTGGTCGATGTTTACCAACGTTTCAGAGGTCACACTGCCTCCATCATCATGACGTTGGTAAACATCTACCAGACTACACAGCGCAACAACCCAGAAGACAGAAATCTTCATACTCACCGCTGTGAAAACCTCAAATCTTACAACTATTCAGCTGTTAAAGAAATGTATTGCTTTTATGGATCATTCATGTTTAAGGTAGAAGGGGAATTTTTACTGTATTCTACTTGCAATCAACATGGGAAATGTTTAAAAATAAATTCCTGCTTTCAGACTTTGTATGTCCTGTTACACATCAAGCAAACACTTGGGGAGACAGAAGGTAGCTCCTTCTCATTCTTGACCATGGCACTAGATGGGGGCGAGCTATCAGCATCACACTCTATTTCAATTTACACCCAGAAAAAGGACTCTGGAGCCACTGGATAGGAGGATAGGTTGGCCCAAAAGTCAGGATGGATGGAAAGGCTAGGAAAAAGAAAACTCTGTTCCTGCTGTGGATCAAACTCCAGTCATTCAGTCTGTAGTCAGAAACTATACTGAGCTACTTCACTGAATTATTTTAACTAATCCTCCAACAGCAACAAGATTATTATAAATCATAATTCGAAGGTCACTTCTTGCAACTCGATTTTTTAATCATAAATATGATAAATAATATAAAATCATGCTTACAAACAAAACTGTTTACACTTTAAAGGACACTAATACCAAACGTGTTTTGACCGCAAGAGGTCATCATCAGTGGCAAAACAAGGTAGATGTGCTATTCCTCTACATCTTCTGATCCACAATATTCTTTTGTGTGATTAATCTCTGACCAGCTGACCAACTGATGTCAATGCCCTAACAACACTTAGTGTATTGCAAAGTTCCTTGTTACACAACATCCTCCATTCCCCAGTTTGGTCTACTTGCCAGTATTAATTCTTCGACTGCTGTATGAAAAACTGGACACTGGCAACACCTGTGAAAAATATAATTTTCTTGTTAGGTATTTGAAATAAAAAATATTAGTAAGTAAATTAAATAAGCGAGTGGTGACGGACATCAGTTATTTATAGAAGTGACATTTAAGTAGACTCCACTGCTGGCATAGACAGACAACCTACTGTCTGTTGGTGTATGAAACTCAACATTCAAAATCAATAAATGAACACCCTGCAATGGAAAAAAGGCCATTGTATGGATTTTCTTCATTTTGCTATCAGTGTATAAAGCTTGCCACCCTTAATATGCTGCCATAATTTTGTCAGATAAGGGGCAGAAGGGAGTCAGCAACCAGTTGATGATGTGTCAGATTTACAATGGTCATCGATTAAGCAACTACAACTCTGCAGCAAGTAAATTTTACTGTGTATGAATCCCATCAGCAGGCAGGCAGGAAAAATCATATTAGAATGGCTACTAAATTCTTTGGAAGTGTGACAAAGTTCAAATATTTGGGAACAACAATAACAAATCAAAATGATATTCATGAGGAAGTTAGGAGAATAAATTCTGGAAATGCTTGCTACCTCTCAGTTCAAAATATTTTGTTTTCCCATCTGATTTCTATGAACCTGAATATTAAAATATACAAAACAATAATTTTGCCTGTTGCTTTGTATGGGTGCGAAACATGGTCTCTCATTCTGAGGTCAGAACACAGATTGCAGGATTGAGGAGGATATTTGGGCCTAGGAGAGAAGACGATGTGGTAAGGAGAGGACTGCATAACGATGAGCTTAAAAATTTGTACTCCTCTCCAAATATTTTCTGGATGATTAAGTCAAGAAGAATGAGATGGGCAGGTCATGTGGCATGCATGGATGAGGCAAAAGGTATGCACCGGGTATTGATCGGGACTCAAGAGGGGAAAAGACCGCTGGGGAGACCTAGAGTAGATGGGAGGATAATCTCAGGCGGGATCTATCGGAGACAGGAGTTGAAGGAGACTGGATTTTGTTGGCCCAGGAGAGGGTCCGGTGGAGGGCTTTGGTTAATTTGGTGATGAACCTTCTGGTTCCGTAGGCCATCTAGTTAGTTAGTTATGAAAGACGGGAGGAAAAGGGGGGGTCACCATATATTATTCTCAACAGGAACATCTAAGTTATTTTCGTACAAATAAGGTTATGATTAATGATATTCAACTTACCAAAGTATATCTTCCTACAAATGTCCTCGCGAAATATTTCACAATTCCGGACATTGTGAGCAAATATTCGAGACAAATAATAACTACAACTCAAAGAAGGGGTATTAAATATTGTGTCACAAAACTGTCAATTATTTTTGTATAACGGATCACCCGTGCTATAAAGGAACTATAGATAACCGAAGTACACACGAACTAATTTATTTTCATAGATACTCATTTCCGGTCCATAGATGACTGGAGGAAAGTGAAACTGTAGATTAGAGAGTGAACCAGTAAGGAACTGCGTAGTTGGTATTTACGGCAAGGTTTGTTTCAATTATCTATGGGTAAGGAGCCACCGTGGTATTTACGGCAAGGTTTGTTTCAATATTCTGTGGGTAAGGAGCCACCAAAAATAATCAGTGCGAGTTCTGTTCGTTGTAATAAGGTCGAGAATGAAAATATTTTGTTTTTCTTTCAAACATTTCCAAACTTCTACTGTGCTCATAAGTGTATGCGTGTGTTAAGATTGACCTACAAAGCCATTTTAATTCCGTTGTAATATTATTTTCAGTTGTTTGTCGCTAGAATATGGACAGTCAAGTAGCTGCCGAAGGTCGACTCTTAGATATTGTGGATGATGCATGGCGTGAAGAACTGCTTCCCCATGACGATATAAATGTACCGCCTGCAGAATTACCTGATCCAGAAGCAGATAATGGTGATTCCCATATGACTTTGAAGGAACAGGAGCAAAAGTGGACAGATATTGCTTTGTGTACACTCTGCGAGCATCATCACGGATTTTCAAACTAAGACGGTAAAGAAAACACCTTACGATCTCAACTACCAGTTGTTTTACTGTGATGATGAGAACGATAATTGTAAAGAATCCGAGGTATACCTTTGCAGTACAGTGAGTGGTCACTAGTTTTCTACATGCATTGTTTTGACATAGATACACTTTTTACTGAAAGATGCCTATAGTCACACTTACATACATAAAACATTTTTATGGTATTTTTACAAACTTATATTTATTAGGAACTTAAAACTTCATGAGAAGCTACATTGCAAATTAAAAGGAAGTATATTACTATGAAATCTGTGTAGCAATTGATTTTGCAACAGTAGATTTATATCTGCAAAAAAATATCAAAAGAATTAAAGGTTGAAGTATTGCAAGGAAATATTTGTTAAACACATGTAGACATCTCCAGTCTTGTCTTATGTCATGTTATTCACTATATTCAGAGAAAATTGATAATCAGAGAACTATGCAGTTCAAAATTTTAGCCTGATTGATAGTTATCTAACATGCTGTTTCAGCTGTAGAGATTATGTAGCACTGAAATAGAAGATTGTAATTTTTTATGAATTTGTAAGGACCATGAAAGAAGCATTCACAACAGGTAGGATTGTTGATAACTTGAATGAGATAAGAACCAGGTACATTACAAATACAAACATAGAGCATCACTGCCATATCACTGGGCTGTATGTTTCATTAAAGTTAAGAATCTAAAAATTTGACATCTTGTTGCAGAGAAATGGAACTTCCTGGCCTCGGAAAGAGATGTGCACGTTTAGAATGTAAGCAGTTAGATTTTCTTCCATTCATATGTTCTCATTGCCAACTAATATTCTGCAAAGATCACTATATGTTAGATAAACACATGTGTACACATGATAGCACTATATCAGTTAGAAAAGCTGTTGAACCCATGAAGCAATACCACTGTACATATGGTGACTGCAGTGTACTAAGTTCAGCTGAAATATATTGCCAAGTTTGTAAGAAGCATTTTTGCCTTAAACATCGTCACCATGGTTGCATTGATAAGGACCAAGCAACACGAGACAAGGAGAGGGACAAGTGGGAATCTCCAAAGAAGCAATTTGAAATAGCCAAGGCTGAGGTAGATCGTCAGGTATGTAGTTAAAGAAAAAGTGTCAGGCTTAATTTTGTAGATGCGGTTGGTTTATTGTTAGCTTTATGGTTGACTCATCAGAACCAGTTATTTGCAGTTGTTTAACACACTAAGAAATTAAAACTAATTTATCATAAAACTACCTAATTCCAGGTCATGCAGTCAGTGGACATTCATTTTAGATTTGCTTTAGAATGTTTATACTGAAATGTAATGAACTATAAGCAGCCTATTCTCTTACAGGTGGATACAAATCTGAATCGTGCAAAGAAGAAAGAAAGGCTCAATAAAACTGTACTCAAAGTTCAGCTGATGAGGCTGAAGGGTAAAGCAGTAGGTTCTAAAGGGATACCAACTACAGACAGAGCATATTTCTTAATTTATCTTCCACTGACAGTTCAGAAAAACAGTAAGGCTGTTTTTGTGGCAAAGCAGTGGTCCATAGGAAGGGTAATAGATTCAGTTGCAGATCTTTGTGATATTTCAAACAAAAACAATGAAACTGCTTCCAAAAAACTGAGACTCTTTCACCAGCATGATGGACAAATACTTTGCACAGAAATGGAAAGAAAACTAGAACAACTTTTAAATGGTGGGACACTGATGGACGGAGAGACTTTGATATTAGAATACATAACAGGAACTGATCCTGATTCTTGTCTCAAATGTCTGGACCAGTATATAGATTAATGTATAGTATAAAGTGCTTAATATCAGACATTAAACACCAGTTATGTTTCATAACATTTATGTTGCAATTGTTTTTACTCAAAACCTTGAAAAGTAATAGTTTCTGCAGTTAGATGTAATTTCAATAAACATTGCATGTTTACAGTGGGAAAGCAGATTTCTGTTCATGTATCCTGAAGCTACAAGGCCAGTTAATTTAAATAAATGTCCTTTATATGCTATGTGTTAGTTTGTTAAACTTGGCAAGGGACATTTAATTTTGCATTGTGCTGTGTTATTTGTAGGAAAGGGTTATTATTTTTATCTCCTTTCCTCTACAGCTGTCAAGTAAAATGACTAGCTAGAACTGAACATTTATGGTTTTATTCTCATTAGGGGCAAGATCTTTCTCTTCACTTGCATCTCCAAACCAGATGATCTATCATCCTATCCAGTGGGTACTTTGGACCTTTTCCCAGGAGACAAAATGACCAGTGTGAAACTCACCCATGTGTTCCATATATTCCCAAAATCTTGTATGTATAAAGCTGTCTGTAGTGCTTAGGTTGAGACTTGTGTTGAAGCAGTCAGTGTGCAAAGCTAGCCCTCACCTGCATTCAAAGATAAAATCTAGAAATTACAGGTATCTACCTCCATGACCCTCATGACCTGGTGATAGGCACAAGAATCGAGCCTTTTGTTTTAAGATTGGATTAGCTAAGTCATGATTATGCTTAACTAACGACAGCAGCGTGAAGCTCAGGACTGCTCTGTGTGCTGGGGCCTCGCCTTGACACTCCTTTTAGTCAGCGATACCTGGTCTAAAACAATATAAAATGTGCAGATTGCTTGCAGCAACAGAGAAAAATTATGCAAATAGTATAAAAGTCTTACATTCTTGATTTTTTGTGTCTGTTCATGAGGGGAGGGATGTCAGCATCTTTATGTAGATATATGTCCATCTTGTGAGTTGTGTATCATTAAGTAATAAAAATGGCCTCATATCAGTTTCCTTCAGCCTGGAACTGTGTACTAGGCTGTGCCATAACTTCTATATTAGGACTACATTCCTGATAAAATGGCCACTCACCTCCATCTAATGCAAAGGTAAAGAATCCTTCCTTAGTATTCCCATACTTCAAACAGAATATACCTTTGGGTACTTGTGGGTTATCGGGGGACATCGCTTTAAAAATAGGTTAGGTTAATGTGTGTGGATGAATGACATATACTTCAAAGTTATTATATTTTATTTCAATAAATGACAACTAACCTTACCTAACCTATTTTTAAAGCGACGTGTCCCGATAACCCACAAGTACCTACTATTGTATTATCAGAGCTCAGTGTAGATGATCTTGGATCATCTAATCCCAAGATGAACAAGAGTTTCGGCAGGTATATGCATATGGCATGTGCAGTAGTCAGTGTATACTGAAAATAAATTTTACATACTTTTGTGAATCAGTTCACATCTTCATTGAATTTTATTTACATAAGAATAATAGTAATACCTCTTTGATTTGAAACTATGGTACAGTCAGCACAGGATTATGAATGTCCTGTTTCAGGTACAAAAATGATTAGCAACCAGCAAAAATAACATATCACATACCAACATTGTCAAGCATACAGAATATGTAGACGTATAACAGGTAACTTCATATGGAAACATTTCCATGGTGCTTGTAGAATAAATGTAATTGTAGACGTATAACAGGTAACTTCATATTGAAACATTTCCATGGTGCTTGTAAAATAAATTTAAAAAGTAACATATGACTATTTTATCACTTTTCTCTACATTACAGACACATTTCAAGTTCTGAAGTATAATCAGTGCATGCATGTTCTACCATACATTTTACATGTCAGTTACACTTGTTACATTTCCTCAGCTGTGTCTCTTAAAATATGTAATGTGTGTAATGCCTTACAAAATTTAATACTACACATTATATATGGTGGTATATTATTATGTCATCTTGGTTAAAATCACTAATATTTACAAAATGCTGGTACTGTGTCAGCTACTACCTGCTCTTGTAAGTCCATGCAGCAGAGTTCTTCTTGAAAAGCTGTCACTCAGCTAGTCAAGAAATTACCCACCTTTCATGGAATTAAAAGGTTCAACATTGTGTTCATAAGATCCTGCCACTGGACCCCGTCCTAAGCTAAATGAATCCTATTCGCATCCTCACCTTATCTCCTTTAAGCTGAAACGTATTCATACATATTATGATGTTATTGATATTGCAGGGTATATACAAGTGTACAAACACCACATCAAAGATAAGTGTTGTTCTTTGTCAATAACTGACATCATACATTGTGAGTAGGAATGGTTTCAATCGAAATATCGTCATTAAAATGTTCTTTGATTTTTTAAACCGTATAAAGCACTAAACACAAATGAAGTACATATAAAACATAACTGATGTAATCTGTATGGCAGAGCAGGTACTGTATATACAGAACTGCAATATATCTACTGCATACCATCTTTACCTATTATTAAAGTTCTGGTGGAATAATTATTACATTACACGTATTAAAACAGGTGACTAACATCTGATTAGAATGTACCAAGGCATTGTAGTCGGAGACAAACATAATATCCATTTTTACAAGGTGCAGTTGGAAGAATCTTCTGCTTGCTTTCTTGTTATAAAAGCTGCCTTATCAAAAGTTTGCAGTTCTGTATGTTTATAATGTTCCCAGCACAAGTCTTGATCATCTTGAACATCAGACATTGTGGGGAAGTGATTTTGTCTCTGAGTTTACCTTTTTGCTAACAGTTCTTTTCAAGTGAATCAATGGCTGAGGTGCTCTCTTATCAAGAACTGTGCTGGGAACAGTCATTTACCAGTGAGGAAATACAGACCCAAAAACAGTCCGAAAGTCATACATATACAATGTGAGGAGATGAAAGGTCAGTAAGTTTTGTGTGCTCTGCATTCAATAATAATATTTTTACAATGAAAAGAAGAGCTGGTAACAAATTTATGACTTAGATGGAAAGTTCAGTTGCTGAAAACCTATTACATCATATAGGTCTGTGTAAACAAACATCAGTGCAATAAAGCCCTACAAGTAATCCTGTAGCTGTTCTTTGCTAATACTGAAACACATGTAACAAAGCAAAAATAAATACCCTGCAATTAACATATCTGTGTATACAATATAAATTCTCTGTCATGGATATTAAAACTAATACGGTAATAAAGACAGTCCACACAGCTTCTAAAATTTTAGCACACTGTTAAAAATATAATTTGGAACTGGAATATTTCAGAAAAGGTGAAACTTATGTTACATAAAATGTATTACTTATTATTTTGACATATGGAGAAAACTTGGAAATGGATTAAGATACAGCAAGCAGACCATTAGCAGCAGAGATAAAGTTTCCATAGAGTATAAGAGGTCAGACAAGAAGGGATAAAATCTGGGTCCAGGACATAGGCAAGATTTGCAAGTAGAGACGCATCAAAAATTTCATCAAATTAAGGACACTGGAGAATGCTGGAGGAGGCTTTGTCGTAAGGTGGCTCATCCTGATGAAAACATTAATGGATGGTGACAGTATACTCCAAATTCTCTATGGGTGGGTTATTTGATTGAATATTATCTATGCTGAAAATGAGTGCCATGCAGGTTTGTGGTAAATCACACATGAGGTATGTTTATTAGTTATTGATCAATTTCAAAAACATACTAAAGTAGTGGGGTTGCAAGGCATAGTGATGCACCTCTTATAGCCTCTCCTATCCAATTGCCAATTCTCATGGTGCAGCCTTTTCCTACTAAAATCCTCTGGGGACCGAGTCACAGCAGTATAACTGTTGCATCAAGTACAGAGGAAATGCTGTATGTAATAGCAGGTCCAGATGCTAGAAAGGTAGCAGCCCTACCACTGGACTCGCCTTCTTTTGGCTAGCAACCAATCAAAGGGGCATATATCACTTTCTAGGCAAAAAAACAAACAGAACCTGATAGATACACAAGTAAGACTAAACCTATCATGTGGATATCTGATGGTACACTAACTGAAGGGAAAGAAGAAGAAAATGAAACCTTTTACAACACACTACAACAAATTTTGAACAAGACAAATCAAATATGGTAACTATAATGGGGGATTTTAATTCTGTAGTTGGTAATAGCAAAATTCACAGCAATATTGGCCATCATGGCAAAAACACATACAACAGAAATGGAAAAAAATTGATAGATTTCGTTGTATTTAACAACATGGAAATTATGAACACTTTCTTCCAACAGAAAAATATCCACCTGGCCAGCTAGAGGACAAACATCCATATAATTGATTATATTGTTTGTAATGTAAAATTATCAGATATGGTACTTGATACAAGAGTATATCATGGGCCTGAAATTGAATTTGATCGTTATCTTGTCATCACCTATTTCAATACCTCCAAGATGGATCCTCAAATGCCAAACTAAAAGAACAATATAAATTAGTTTTAAAGTAGATCTGTTACAAGATTCAAGCATAACATGGTTGTTTGAGAGAAGAGTCAGTATCCTAACACAAGAAATAGAACAGAGCCACGATACAGAAAAAGAATGGGAAAACCTAAAGAAAATACTCAAGTAAGTAGGAAAAGAAAGCATTGGAATGGAAAGGAAATGGTGTCAAAGAAAAAAATTAGGGAAATGGGATGAACACCTCGCCAAAGATAAAAGAGAAGCATATAAGGAAAGTTTATCAATGAGATTTATAGAAGATGAAATTGAATACAAAAGATATAGGGCTGTAGCAAAAAGAGAAGTGCAACAGAAAAGAGATATGTGGAATACTTTTATATCAAGTTCAGAAAACAATGAATCAAAACCATGACCAAAACATACAAAATCATTAGAATGTTGAAAAATGATACAAAAGAACCAGTGAAAATCAATCCAATAACAAAGGAATCCTGGTTGCAACATTTCCAAGACTTATGGACTCAAAAAGAAGACACATTTCTTACAGGTTATGGAGATATAAGTTACAATGAACTGGCTCAGAATGAAGAGTGCAGGTGCAAATTTTAATGATTATAATAATGAATTTTTGGTTTCATAAAAGCAGGGAATTTTATAACCAAGTGAATCACATTTCCTAAAGGCAGTAAACCAAGAATGAATTCCGAAGTTTTAATGAGTCCAGCAGTTTAGAGGCATTGTCATAATACACCAACCTTAAAAAGTTAATGTAAACATTTGTTTTTACTGTGAAATAGATACCTATGTTTTATAAGATAATTTTAAAAAAAAAATTGAGTTTTTAGTTAAATATTCTGATCTTCAGACATACTGTGTAGTGTCAAGAAAATATTTAATTTTCTGTGCTTTACCACGAGAAAGTTAAAGCATATATCACACTACATTGGACTGTTATGTCAGTCCATAAAACCACTATTTCTGAGATCATGGAAGAACATAACAACATTCCCATCTGCCACATTTTGATGCTAAATCATTCATACATATATACAGATTCCTTAAATACATTCACTCTGCACTCCTTTCTATCTGCACCTGCAAATCATGTGCTGTACAAGCATACATGTTATGAAAAACTTTTATGGCAACATAAATCACTGAAGTCATCATGGGATGAAAACTGTCATTGTTGAATAAACCTCCTGACAATTATTAGCTCCTTTTCCCATCATCAGTATTGATGTGACATCTTTATTTATCTTCCCCTTACTCTAAAGTTTGATGAAGCATAATTTGTGGCTCTGCATTGGAGGGTTACAATCTTCATGCTTTATCCACCCCTCACCTCTGACACAGACAAGCATCGTGCCTTGACCTGTTTGTTCTTGGTGCTACTGATATGGCCATAGATCACTGTCCTCTACCTACTTACCAAATTCTCACGGAACAGATGTCCGTCTTGTACTGCGGAGTATCCAGTTTGAATCATAATGTTGCATGTTTTCCCTCAATCTATGCCAATGTCAGAATAGTACCTTCAAAATGGCCATGACCATTGCCTTCCAAATTCTTACATAATTGATAATCATGATTACATTCACATCACAACTGATGTAGTTGGAACATTGTCGCTAAATAAACTAAGAATGAATAAGTAACTAAAGCTCCTCATAACCGGAAGCAGCTTCCAAAATGTTGGGGTTTTTATCCAACGATGACATGACTTACAGCCTGAAAAGTTCTCAGTAAAGCAAGTATATTGTCTTTCTACTATACAACTGTAGTAACATGAGTCACGTAAAATTAAAAAACATAATACTTATAACCCTTTCATTGCCATATTTTGCAAGCACCATCCTCTGGTTATGTTCTTTTTCTCCCCTTCAGGTATTATATGACATTTAATAGATTATCTCAATTTTAGTATGACAAAGTAGGTTACATTTTAAATTTGTTCTTTAAACGTGGTGATAAAATTAAAGTGTTCACGATACATAACTTAACATATTCATAAATTGTCATTGGCGAATTATGCCCGGTGTTGTCTGTAGACAAAGGGACACACACAGTAACACAAATGTGAGACAACACATGGCAGAGATTGGGAAGCCAAAGACTGACATAAAACAAGAGCAACTTCAGTACGCTAGGAGTAAATGAATAAGATAAAACCAAGTATAAGAGCAAAAGGTACTTTGAGATTGGCAGTGAATGGGTTACAAATTGAAACACAAACAGAACACATTACATTATACATACTGTGTGTGGCTACGGTTCCTTTGGCAGTCATTTGAAACACTGGGTCCTGTGGTGCTTACTGGCGTATATTTGTAACCACTCCCATTACCCTGATCTTTATGGAGAGGAATATTATTATGATGTCTCGTTTCATTTATAATTATAGAATCATGTTGGGAATGTTTTGGGGAGTTATTTCTCCGACGGCGTTGTTTCCAGTGACAGCACATCCAGACCATTATTGGTATTAAAACTAGTGCAGCAGGGATGAGGAACAGCAGTGGAAGTGAAGATGATGGTGTGCTGTCTGAGGAAGTGCGTTCTGTAGAGAAACAAATAGAGGAAAGGTGTACGGTGTGCTGTCTGAGGAAGTGCGTTCTGCAGAGAAACAAATAGACGAAAGGTGTATTTGAATGGGGTACACATTTTCTGCATGCATATGTAAGTGATTTTTTCTGTGGTGTTCATTTATAGTAGATGTAAACTTCTTGCTGCAAAGAAATCACTGAGTGTTGCAATTCATGCTCTACTAATTATGTTTAATATTCATAGTGAAATTTGCATTCTAGACATAAATTACACCTAATTTAACAGAAGAGCATAATTTCTCACCTTCTAGAGTATGTGTCAGGACTGTTAAGTATGCACCTCTATATTGGAATCCCTTTAGATTCACTGCTAGACATGTGTAGTAGCCGTTGTCCAGTGCAGAGCTCCGAGGAAGAATCAACTTACTGATGTACACTTCACCTGCCAATTCCCGCTCTCCACTTGAATTCATCCGCTGAAAACACAGAAAGTCAAACTGTTCTGAGACAATACAAGAATATAATGAAGCAGACCTATCCTTCTAGCATCATTTCCATTAAATACATAAAAGAAAAGCCTCTAAATATCACAATTTCTAATCTTCTGTTTCAGACCTTACTGAATCACTTGTAATTTGATGTATTCTATTTTGCATCCATTTTTGTGCACTTTTTGTAAGAGGTACATAAAACAGACACATTACGGGTTGGTGTCATGAATCTGTCCCTATGTTACATCTGTGAACTAAGAACAGATTTAGCTGATATTTAGTTTTGAGGGGTGGGGATCTATGCAAGAAAGATGCCAAACAAAATTAATTTTGATTTGTACAGATCCAATATAACATTCCCTCTCCATTAAGCTCAAATTGAACTCCAAATATCTCCTGAAAAATGGCTCACAAAAAGGGTTCACCACATGAAATACTGTCAATTAGTTTGGCACAGGAGAATTTGGAAATGCATCCCTAACTCATTCTGGCAAGTTAAATAAGAACAAGTTGCCAGGTAGTGTACAACAATAAATACTTTTTGCACTTATGAAAAATACATCCTTATACTTCAACTGTTGAAAGACAACTGATGGACCGGCACGAGGCAGATTATAACATCATGTGATCTGTATGGCCTCTTATATAGACACAGCAATACTGTGTGCTTATTAATCCAATCAAAACTGTATTAAATTGTTCATTCTTCATAAAAGATCAGCAGTGCCAATAATCATGACTAGGTACATGACAGATGTCTGCATGGACATTCTTAATATATGACAATGAATAGTATTCACCTCATATGTATCATTTAGAAAAGGTATTAGACCATCATTTGAAGTTCTGCCATCTGTGCGTCGCAGCCAATAGAAAACGGGGCGAACTTTACTGTGGACACGACACTGGAAAACAGCAGGTTTTCCTTTCTGAACAGTCACATTGCTTGGCTGTCCTTGTAGAATTTCTGGTGAACCAAATATTTCTGAAAAGATCAGTGCATTCTGTGTTAATGTAATCATAGCTATGGTTCAAGGAAAAGAACTCAAACCCACTGGCCACTTAATAAACTCCACTTGTCTGCAATTTTTCAGATAACAGATAGTTAAGATCTAAACTTTAAACATTAAAATTATGGAATACAGGTAGCATGTTACTTAATTTGTGTTTTGCACACTTTAACACATTAGAGGAGTGGTCCATGAGCATCAATCAGGTGGCCCCTGAAACAATGGAAATGGGAGAGGCCAAAAGAATAGGAATTTATTTTTCCCCAGCCACCTGAAGATAGAAATAGAATTAATTTCTGAAACATGGTTTTAATAAATAAAAAGACAACTGACATTAAAAATGAAAAACAGTCACAAGCAATGTTCTGCACCACTGTCATAAACCTTTAAATTTCACCGTAAAAGTGCAGGTTATTTTAATATCTGATAGTTGTTCAGCTGGTCAATAAATTTTATGTGTTTATAGAACCAAATGGTTCATCATCATGTCCACAAAAATCCTAACTTGAACCATTCCTAGCTAGTGTAATTATTAATTTCATATCTTCACACCCAGGGCTGGCCTTAGGGGTGGAAAAGCCAAGCTTTTGCTGAGATTACCAAGCTGAAGGCCATACCATAGTCAGTAACTCTAGAGAAGTTATTAATACCATTTGTTTTAACTACATGAAGCAAAATGTGAATAGCGTGATTTTATGTGTGTAAGACACAGAAGTATAAAAATACTGATACATCTTACCCATCCAAATGTGGAGGGAACCTGTGTATTTGCTCACAACACTATACTGAACAACCTGCAGATTGTCTTATATCATATGTATGAGTCATTACTGTACCTGAAAATATAGTTTACTGGTGCAAACTCCTTGTTAAAAAATTGATAGTATAACCCCTGCATCACATTTATTGATTTAATCATCCTAACAAAATTAGATATTTACTATAAACCGTAAAACTCCAATCTATGTAATTTTTTTTCAATTTCTTTGTTACATCATTTTTCTTATCCCCATATCAGCTTACCAACAACTTCCAACTCGTAAGTCTGAGTGACTTTGAAATTTTTTGACGTCTTATTTCGGTGTGACATCAAACAGCGGTATAGTCCAGTATCTCCTTCTGTGGTTATGTTTAGAACCAGGGTAGCTCGGCATGGGTTGAGGTTGTACCCACATATGGCTGTCCATGTTTCATTACTTGATATGGACTGACATGGGGTGAAGTTGTGTCCAAACCCACACCTCTGAAATTAAGATACAAATTTCAATTGGAAAGCCACAAATCCACCTTTAGTACAAGAAACAGTTAACAGTGATTCTATGATAGCATGCAGTCTTTCATACTGTTCTGTATTGGAAGAAACACACTGCTTCCATCTTCATGGCAGAAGTGAAGCTGAGATGGTAGGTTCCATAAAGATGGCAGAAGTTTTGTCTGATACAACAGTGTTACAATCTAGAAAACTCTTCACTACACATGGATCACCACTGAAACCAAACATCTTATGTAAGAATGAGTCTATACATTGTATTTTACTTATGTTTCTAAAAAAAATATGCGTATAAAACAAATTATCAGTTTAGAAAGGTTAGAACAAGCTTATGGCAAGCAGGAAAAGATACAATGAAAAACTACAGAATGATCTCCCCAACATGACTCCTACAGAAGTTCCTGGTTCAATAATAACCTCAGCTGTTAGCATACCAAAACTTGTCAGTACACAGACAACCAGTAACCTAAAGATTATAAGTACGTAGGGCAGTCAAAAAGTTCCAGGAATTGTGGTATAGCACTGTAATGGTAGGACATATGGCAACGCTTACCTAATCACCTTCAAAGTAGGACACTTGCGCACATACACTCACTTGCTCCATCCATCCTGCCATTGTTGGAAGCACCGGCGGAAGGCTTCGTTTGGAATCTTCTGGAGTTTGGCCGTCGCATTCGATTTGATGTCCTCCGTGGTTGCGAAATGCGTCCCCTTGAGGCCCATTTTCAGAGTAGGGAACAGCCAGAAGTCACTCGGAGCGAGATCTGGAGAGTATGGTGGTTGGGTGATGACGGGAATGCTTTTCTCGGCGAGGAATTGCTGCACAACCAGCTATGTGTCGAATGTGACGGCCGGACTCCAGAAGATTCCAAACGAAGCCTTCCGCCGGTGCTTCCAACAATGGCAGGATGGATGGAGCAAGTGAGTGGATGTGCGCAAGGGTCCTACTTTGAAGGTGATTAGGTAAGCATTGCCATATGTCCTACCATTACAGTGCTATACCACAATTCCGGGAACTTTTTGATTGCCCCTCGTATATGAATCCTGTTAGGAGCGTAACACTCTGTCCATCACCAATATCAGCATCATAGCAGGGCTGGCAGTAAACAAAATCTTTCATATCTGGGTATACATTTATTTATTAAAGTATATAAATGTCATATGGTGCGTGAAATACCACACGTAAGATACCGAGGGTAAACAAAAAGGCAAAATTTTTGAGTATGTATCTAAACTTATGCTACACATACTAATTTTAGTGTACAAAACTTGTCACACTCATCTGCTAACCAAGTACTTTCACTCATTCCTTAATAATTTCATCACTTGCTGTTCCATTTTTTGCATTCACTTGGCTTCTTCCTCCCTACTGATAATATCTCCGACATACTGCCGCTGATGGAAGAGTCTATTCCATAAATGGGAGAAATAGTTGGCAGCATTTTGTTGGCTTAATCAAGATCCTGTTCTTCATACGTACACATTTGTTTTCTAGGCATTTGCCTGGAGGGACTAAGAAACACAATAAAAACCTCCAGGATACTCCATGTTCTTGCTGAGAATAAGCATATTCCATAAAAATGTTTAGAAGTATTACCACTTTCACCAGCTTGCTTTGTTATGCTTATTAAATATATTTTTCGCAATAGGTAAAATCCATAATACCATAAATGGGATGTAATGGGCCAAACATTGTCACAAACCTTTTGCAGATCATTTGAAGCTTCCTATGTATTTTGGAGATAGCCTATTATAATATTGTATTCGAGCATCATGTTGTTAAATGGTTATAATATGCTTACTTCTTTACATAACAGGCGCCATATACGCCCACAAAACTAGACGTCAATTAATTTGTTACTACAAGCCCATTTAATTTCTTTACTCTCAAGGAATTTAAAAAAATTGTGATTCTTATCTATCTGCTGTTTCACGTACAAGTGTCAAACACGCTACTGACTAAAAATCCCTAACATAAAATAAAAAGTTTCCAGGTAAAAATTGTCAGCTACAAGATGTTGCAGGCATATGCTTTGGTAATTTGTCATTACTGAACAAGCATTGTTACGGACAATGAGAACTGGCTATTATTTTTCAAAACTAATACCAGGAGGTGTTTCTTGGCCCTTGGATCAAACAGGAAGCCATTCTGGAGGGGAGAAAAATGTTGAACTAACCTGATTTATGTGTATCCTGTTGTGTGAAGACTGCCAAAAAGGTAAGCATATTATAACTGTCATAATAATGTTTAAAACTGAAGATACTTAATCAAAAATAAGCTTGACATTTGCTGGACTACAATATAAAAAAATGGCGGGCAACTGTTTACCTTATAGTGCCACATGACATCATGTGATTTGCAGTGTTCTTGATATGAAAAGCCTTGCCTGCCCTTGTTGCAGCACTGAAGACGTACTTCAGTCCCAGCAGGCACCATAATTTGTACTGGAGAAGACGGAGTAAACACAGACTGACCTAGAGAGTCTTCAATCAAAAGCAGATAAGTTCATCTAAAAGTCAAGTCATTTTTATGAACATACTATTATATATAATACGACTAGGGTTATCACAAGTAATTAATTTACACAGTTATTTCTCACATTTATTCAGCAAAATCTGACTTACATAAAATATTTTTAATTAACTAAGGTAACTCAAAGGTACAGAATCTTCCCTGAAAAGGTACTTTGTAGTACTCATATCTAAAGGTTTGGCACTGTATTCAGAAAGGCCTGCCACTTGATGTTATACTGAGCTAGATGAATTTAGTTAACACCATAATTTTCTAAGATCCATTTTAATAGTATCCTTCCTCCCTTCTATACCCAGGTCTCCCAAGAAGTCTTCTCATTTCAAACCAACAATCTGTAAAGACTTTTCATTTCTGCTCAGAGTGCTACATGTTCAGCCAAAACCATTTGGCCCACACTACATCATTTCAGTAACAATATTGCCATGAATGTGTAATAAGGAGCTCCAAAATATTGCCATGGATTTACTTTCATTATACCATTATATCCAAGTCTTCATAGGATTTCAATTTTGAAGATGTACTTCTGAAAGCATTCTAATAAAGTCTCCACTAAATCATAACCCATAACATTCTTTAATAGCTCCAATTTTAGGACGTCCTCCATTCACAAGTATTCCTAACACCAATAACAAAATGTTCCACTGTAACTGTATCTGCTGTTTCATCAGCTAATAGGTCTATTAACAAACTGGCAGAAAATTTCATCATGACTGCAAGTTTATTTAAAATACATCCACTGATATATTTTCATTTCATTTGGTAACAAATAGAGGGAGTTTCCAGGCCCATTCTGTAAGTGGCCCATTTAAACCTCTACTTTAATAATGCAGTAACGAAAGAAAATTAGTCATCATCTCAAGATGCTTTCATAACATAAACACATCCACTATTTCTGTGACCTCTTTTAATGACAACCACAAAGGATTACAGTCTCAACAACAGGTTTTATGTTTGTTCTGTTAAATTTCTCTTTTTTATGTTAATTTACACTTTTCTTGAGTTGTAGCACTCTGTTGCCTAGTTGGTAGAAACTAACGTTTCAGAAGACTGTACAGCTTCCATCTCCAATCCTGAAGATGGTAGCAGTATGTTCCACCAAAACATAGGTTAGCTAACTCAAGGCCACACAACGTTACAACCAAGATGACCAAGATCGACATCTTCACCGCCATGTGAATCTCAATCTCGAATTTCCACTCTTGACCTTCAAAGGAAGTAAGCTATTCGTCAACATCATAAAGTGAACTATTGAGATAACCTGGTATCGAGAAATGGTCGTTGTGGTACAGATATTGATTAGAAAACAGGTGAGATATACAAGATATTTTTTTCTGCAACGATATTAGGTCTCAGGGCCTGCCCAGCCACCTCTTAACCTCACTCACATAACCAACAGACTGGCAACCGACGTCACGATGAAAGAAAACAGCTTCAGGATTTACAACTTTGAAACAAAACTACTGTTGGCTACCATAACGAAACCCGTCGGCCCTCGCGTTGTTCAGAGGCAACGCTACTGGAAGAACTAGAACGGACCGCTTTAGCGAAAAGGAAAATCTGTATTAAGATTTCCATTTCGCTGCCAGAAACCGGCAGTTTAATAAACCTGGTTATACACACAACTCCGGTATCAGACAACACAATCTTGAGTGAAACTATCAACAATGTGCAATATCGTATGACTCTAACTTCAGGTTGAACGTCACGGCTAAGTGGTTATCACTCGTGATTCGTATCA